AATTATAATGTATAAATATAAATTATAATATTGATATAGAGTATAATTTCATATTATAAATTATATTCAATTGAATGATGCATCAGTTGTGTAATATGCATTAGTAATTCATGATCAAAATATCAATATTTCAGATAATATAATGTATCTTAGTACCTTTTTCAATAGGGTATAAATTAGCCAGCGCCACAATCTCGTGACCTGCTGCTATACATTGCATTATATTGAAGCAAGAATCTTTGCCACCACTGATTAGTGCAACAACCCTCATTTTTTTGTAGATTGTTCTTGTGTCTCTTCGTTGAAAAACAATTATGGTTAAAATTAAAGCTGATTTATTTTGTTTAAATAATCATCTGCAATAAAAATCAAAAAAGAATATATACAAAATAGTTTTCATATAATATTAAAATAATATAAATTTAAAAAAATATATATAAATATGCATGGAATATAGTTTTATATTTATTGTTTCATCAATTATGATAATGTTATATGTATACACACACAAATTTACACGTTTCAAATTATATATGGAAAATAAAAAGTGTTTAAAAAGCAAAATCAGAATTTAAAGTAATATTAATTTATGATAAGAACACACACATATATACAGAATATAACAGTAAACGCATCTAATCCCCTAACAATATATACAATTGCACATATTTACAATTTATATAATCACAAAGAACAGAGATATATGACTAACAAGACTTTATAGCAATAATAATAATAATAAAAGGTTTTGGCTATCTATACAGTAAACAATTAATATGCAATATCAATGAAGACACAATTGAGATATTTCAAAATAAAACTATAGAAACTATGGAGCATCAGTTAAGCATATGTGCAAATAGAAAGCCATAGGTAAACAGTGCAAAGATATAAGCGTTAAAAACGAAAAACCAAATTATTTATTAATATATGTAATTAGCTAATGAACAAAAATTTGTCGCGAACGGTACAAATCACAAATCATAAGGAATGTTAAAGATTCTTCGTATCTTCGATACCGGATGTTAGATCCATAAATCGAGAAGATGTAGCGATAAAGCGTGGTTTTATCGCAAAAAGAAGAAACAGTGTGTATGTAGATATTGCCTGAAGGATAAATTTTTTGGTTATTACAGGAATGAAAGTGCAAGGAGACAAACAACGAAGTGACAACGAGCAATGAACTGCGCAGCCAAACGCGAGCACGACGATTACGATGAAGCATGCAGCAAAATCAACGCCAAATTCTCCATAAATGTGATATTTACGTTAAATTGGTGGCAAAAACTTCTCACACAATACCGTCGGCAGTCCATGGGAGACTGTGAGAGACTGATGTCATGATGGGACATTGGACATGGATATGGAACGATAGAATCATGGATAATAGAAGTATGTGACAACCGATATGTCTACGACGGTAACACCACGACGGAACAATATTCAACCTCAGAGCGTCCTACGTAATCGAGGTTATTCCAAATATTAAAATTATACTGATTAAAATCATCGTGATTGTCTCATCGTTTCTTTATAAGTAACAGAACGACTTTATCTCATTCGTCGAGAGAGTAGTATTTATTCTTTGTACGAAAATTATTGACAAAATTAACTAGAGCGTCGAGAGATTCGTAGGTGTAACTTCGCGCGACCGTATATCTCGTGACATTTTCAAAAGACGCAAAGAATACTTCGTTTTGATTGGTCAATCAAACGTTTCAAAGTTTTGTAATGCCAAGTAGAGTGCACTCTCTATGTTTACTTTCACACTATGACGTAATTATATTTTACATACCTTTCGAATTTCAATAAAAAAAATCCTTATTTTCGCTATTCGTTCGTTTAATGTATAATGGCATTTGAAAATTATATAAAAGATTATCTCATATTTTCAAAATCGAGTTTTATTATCGATTATATTTTTGTGTATATCGATTTCAGGTATAAACAAAATAAAAAATGCCATACAGGAGAAAACAGAAGAAACAGGAATAAAGCAGAAATCACTTTTGGCAACATTTGTTCTTCAAAGTTGCTTTTATTATCACGCACGGTAAGAATTGACCCATTTTTCTCAAACGCAATCCGCTGACCAATGAGGTGGCGCGCGGCGGGCAGCCATTTTACTTTCGCTACGGTCGCGCGAAGCGCTGCTTTGAGGAATTTCGATCGGACTCGATATCGTCGTGCAGTTTCGAGGCGAACTGTGTAAGCGAGCTGTGTGTTCCATCGCACGTTCGCGAGGGATTTTCTGTTAACACATCTCTCTAACACATCATTCTGCTACAACGGTAATTGATATTCGATTCAATTAACGAGCAAGCCATCACGACGATGGTCTTGGCAGAGAGAAACTCGGAAAATGTACGGAACGGTCGCAGATCGCGAGGCCCCAGCCCTAACGCACAGACGGAATCTTCCAGCGAGGAGGATGGAGGTATCACCTATTTTCATGTTATCGCTATCGATACAGATGTTTTGATTATCAGCTATTATAACGTCTATTTTGCGCAAAGATTTTATTTGATGTTTGTTGAATCAGGACAGTTTCATCTTAATCCAGATCTTCAAATTACGCGCTCCACTTTTTTTCGTTTAAACATCTTTTATAGATGCAAATATTGCTTGGAATGGCAAATATTCTCTTTTGTATTTACATTTAAAAAAGTCTTCTAAAAAGAAATATTCCTTTATTGTAATATTAATAATGTAGTCTAAAAATGACACAACTTTCCTATATATATATATATAGATGAAAAAATGAAAAAATGAAATTAGTTAAATGGTAAAAAATATAAAATCTTATTTATTATATATAATCTGACAGAAACATTAACCATATAATGTTTTGCAAGTTCCGGCAGAGAAAATAAGAGTTGGACGAGATTACCAAGTGATTGTTCCTGAACTTGTTCCTGTTAATGGTATTTAATTTTTATATATATATAATTTTCAAAAATGTAGAATTAAATAGCATAAAACTTGTATTCAATATGGCATTATATATTTTAGAACGTAGATTGGATCAATGTCCTGATAGAGCATTATTAGTTTGGTCACCAACCACAGATATACCGGATCAGAAACGTAAGTAATGAAGACTTATGTATCAATTAATTTGTACAAACAAAAATTTATGTTTAACTAACATGTTTTCTGTCTTTTCTAGTTGATGAATACATAATATTAGCTAAAGAAAAATATGGTTATAATGGAGAACAGGCATTGGGAATGCTATTTTGGCATAAACATAATTTGGAACGTGCAGTCCTGGATCTAGCAAATTTCACACCATTTCCTGATGAATGGACGGTTGAAGATAAAGTATTATTTGAGCAAGCATTTCAATTTCATGGCAAGAGTTTTCATCGCATTCGGCAAATGGTACATTTTTATTTATTTATTTATAAAATATTCTATGATATTTAGATCTGTTTGAGATCTAATTTCTATTTATTATATGTTCTATGAAAAGCTATTTAATACAATATGAAAATAGTAATTAACAATATATATTTTTTTAACTAGTTATGTTTAGATTTAAGTATTATAGAACTTGTATAATATTTTAATAATTTTTTAGAGTATGCTAAGAAAAGTGACTTTGAAGATATAATACTTTTTTAAACTAATAAAAAAAATTCTTATTTTTCATTTAGTAAATCGAGAAAGTTTTATTTATTGGAGAGATTTTTCTCTTGAGAATAAGCTATCTGTTAATATAAAATTTAAAAACATGATAATTGTGGTTATGTCGCGATATCTTTTTATAATTATATACAATAAAATTACATGTAAATATAATGAGAGCATAATAAAAATTAATATTAATTTTTTTATATATTATTAATGATAATATAACATCAAAGATTTTAGGAAACAAACATATATGCATTGATGCTTCTAAATTTTACATACACACACACACATATAATTAAACTTACAAATTATTTAAAATGGAATTTATACAATTAAATACAGAAAAAGTGAGAGAGAAAGGAATATATTAGAACATATAATTCTGTAATATTTTAGATGTTAAGATTTATATAAATGATTTATATTTGTGATGATTTATGTATACAGCTCCCTGACAAATCTATCGCAAGCCTCGTCAAGTACTATTATGGCTGGAAAAAAACACGAAGTAGGACATCATTGATGGACAGGCAAGCACGTAAATTGACAAGCGGCTGCAAAGAAGGCGAGAATGGCAGCGAAAACGGAAGCGAGCTCGGTTCCAACACAGATAGCGAGTCTGAAGAAAAAGTAAGAATTTGTTTGAAAAACTAATTTGAGCAATAAAATTTAATGCATGTGCTCTATTTTGTTTTGCGTAAAAAAACATTTTTTTCTTTCTTTTTTTTTCTTATTTTAAACGATAGCATTTTAATACAGATATATAAATCTAAAAGACAGAACAGAGTCTAACATTAAATGCAATAATTGCAGCAAAGGGAGACTCTTTGTTTTTCCTAATTCTTTATCATATCCAATTAATATCTCTCTTTTTCTTTCCATTCTCTTATAAAGATATTTCTTTGTGTACAAGCTTACTGTTCTGGCTGTTTTGTGCGATTATATTGCAAATAATTATACTGTCGTGGCACAAATTGGTAATATGGAGAATAATATAACAGTTTTAAAACTTATATAAAAAAAAATGTATCCACACGATAAGACATTATGATTATAATTGAAGCGGGTAAAAGAAACAATGTTATGTAACATTAATGGTAACAAGAAATCATCGTATATAGATATTTTTATATATGTATGTAGGGTATAAAAAATTTATAACGTATATAAATGGAAATTTTACGATATTTTTTCACACGCGTGATATTAAAAAAAAGGAACGTTTAATCTATCTAAATGTTTTGCACATATAAGAGATAAGCAATAGTTTAGTTGGACGGTTACATCGGTATGTGAACGTAAATGTGGAACGTTCCAGAAATGGACGATCCACCGCGGAATTCGTCGTGGAAAGAACCAAGCTGTGCCAGGAAGCCAAGGCACTGATGCTAAGGCCCCATCCGACTCGGAAAACGCCCCTCAGGTTCAGGTACTCAGCCTAAACCTTACCCACACTCACATACATAGTATAATACGCTTCACTACTGTGTTTTGCTATTTTCAATGCATTACATGGATTATTGCTACACTGGCATAATATATAAATGTTTTTTTTTTTTCTATCAAAATTTTTTTTAATATTGAAATAGGCTGAAACCTTACTGAGGAAATGAATAGAGTAGAAAAAGTTTTGAAATATGTATACATATATGCGATATTTAACTCGATTGAATTGACCAATACTGTTGTGAATAATTGAACCAACTATGAAAAGTACGAAAATATGCACTTGTTTATAGAGAACGGGATACATAAATTATTTTGATGACTTTCTTCCAATCCATTCAAAAACGGAATAAATGATAATTACAAAATATGAATGGGGGGGGGGGGGGTATAAAAATTTTTG